GTTGAAGAGAAAGTTATAAATTCAGTTTTATCAATGTTGAGACACTCAATAGATTATTACTTGACCAGTTATATATCGTTTTCATTTGCGTTTTCGTATGTTTCATTCCAAGTAATTTTCACAAATACTACAGCAGTATCATCGGCGCAGGATAATAGTTTTCATTTGAAATTGCTGATATTGGAAATATTGTTTTCATAGAGCAAAAATTAAATGGGGCCTATTATTGTTTTCTGAGGCACGCCCATGCTGACGGGTAGCGGATTACTATATGAATCATTATTTTCAATATCTGAATTCTGTTAGATGAGTAATCTTCGAAAATTTCAAGAGGCATTTCTCTAATAGAATCCTCGAAAGCGGAAGGAATTTTACCAGTCTTAAAAATTGAGTTGAAGATATGACATAATGGCTTCAATAGATAGTTATGAAATTTTTTCACGAAGAATACTGAAATTTTATCTGGACCAGGTGAAGTATTATTTTTCAAGCCAGAGATTATATCCATAATTTCAGATTCAGTTACAGCATGTAAAAATAACGAGTTTTCAATGCTTCTTTTATTTTCCAATGTTGGCTGGGTCGGTTATTCTATTTTTTCGACATGTTTTCACTTACATTTATAAAGGAGGACTTGTATTCATCTGCTACTTCTTTATCTGCGCTACATATTCGGTTACCGTCGTTAATTACGTCAAATTTCTAGGAATTGCAGGGTAATGAAGAAACCGCAGTTGAAGGAAAGTAAACTACTTAGGAGTCATAATAGACAACCAGCTATGTTTTCAAGATCATTCCAACTATACAATCAAAACTATTGTATTTAGGTAAATTGGATTATTTTTATACAAAATTTGAACAGATGGACATTGATTACGCTATATAATGTTTCAATACTTCACCATTTTAACTATTGTGGAAGTATATTGTACTTAATAAAAGAAAATGAGATATATAGACTAGAAAAGATACAAAATAAGCTTGTAATCGTCCTTAATCTATTCAACATATGCTAGCAGCACTGAACTGGATGTCTGTTTGCAAATACTCTCTATTTATGAAATCGAGATGGATCTAGCACCTCCATATATTTTTAATGAAATAATCTATAACTACCAGATTCGCCCACATCAAACAAGAAACCGAAATAATTTCCATTTGCCACAACTGTTGGAAAGCTCTTCACAAAGTTCCATTATTTTCGAAGGTCTAAATGCTTTCAATGAATTACCTGGTTCTATTCAAGGGGCTACCTCTCTCATCATCTTTGAAACAAGTTTGAAGCGTCATATGTTGAAGTACCTGTATCTATTTAAGTACTGACCTGATGCTATTATATTTTTTTTCTCAATTTTTTGCTGGGATTAACCGAAGTTGAATGTATTTTTTTATGTGTTGTATATTCAGACGAACTGTATGCAACAGTTTGTAATTAGTTTTTTGCTGCTTTTTGGATCAATATACACACATCGGAAAAGTCTAGGGATATTTTTAAAAATGGCAATAATTTTTTTTCAGATCGCTTTAGGGAAAAAAAAGTTGACGGGTGATTATTAAACGAATGTAACTTACAACAAAATGTATTGAATGGTCTAAAATACTGAGTGCGCATATAAGCAAAACTAAAAAAAATATGGCTCTTCTTTGGCACCCCGAAAAAAAATCATAATACAAAAAAAATTGGAATCAGTACAAAGTATGGCCTCCACGCTGGTTTATTACGGCCCTATATCTATCGTGCATCGACAAAATGAGATTGTCAATGTCTTGTTGAGGTACATTTGCCCATTCAGCGATTAAAAGCTCTCTCAATTAAAACGTTGTGTGAATGTTCCCCATATGCGGAGTAATTCTTCGTTGAAGCATGTCCCACACATACTGGATGGGATTCAGGTCCGGTGATTGTGCTGGCCATGGCAATACATCAACTCCTTCGTTGGTGAGCCAGTCAGTCACTAGACGCGCGAAATGTGTACGAGCATTAGCGTGCATTAGGTGGAAGTTTTCACCAGCAAACGGACGGACGATAGGTAGAAGATTGGTGTCGAGGTACTGTCGAGCTGTGAGGGAGCGATTTGGAAAAACGAGATCGGTTCTGCCGCCGATCATGATTCCGCCCCATAGCATTACTGTACCACCTCTGTATGTGTGGACTTCCTGGACGTGTCTCAAACGTTCATTATTTCCAGGTCGTCTCCACAGTCTTACTCGACGAAAATCTGGATGAAATCCAAATCTGAATTCGTCTGTAAACAAAACTGTGGCCCAATCATTTGCATCCCAGTTTTGATGTTCTTGACACCACTTTAATCTTCTACCGTGATTGCCTCTCGACAAAGGTGGACATCTAAGTGGCCTTCTGTTGTGGAGATCTGCTTCATGCAGTCGATTTTTGACAGTATCACGACCAATGGTTACCTGGTGCGTCTGCTGCAACACGTTAACCAACTCAGGTGCTGTGATTGTCGGTTGTCTTCTTGCGGTTAAGACCAAAAATCGGTCTTGAACTGCAGTTGTAGCGCGTCCTCGCCCTGGATGTTGTTCGGCGGGACTGCCAGTTTCACGGAAACGCCGCCACAATCGACTGATAACACTTTGGGAGACCCCCAAACGAAGAGCTACATCATTTTGTCGCATGTCACCTTGAAGAAGCCCTACAGCTCTATTCATCTCAGCCAATGGTAAGTGATGGTGTTTCATGTTAAAGCACAATATTTCCAGTTTAATTGCTGAGCAAGAACTGCATAGAATGTACAAACTCGACACTTTCAGATTATTCATTTTAGGGGAAAACCTACAGTTTGTAAAAAACTTGATAAAAAATTAGTTACCGTTTTCGCAGGCTTTGTTCAACCCATAGAAATCTACAGGGTGGTCGAGTGTACCAATTTAATCGAAATTAAACGACCTCATGCATTTATTTTTATGATATTTAGTATGTTGTAAAAATAACCCTAGACTTTTTCGATGTGTGTATTGTTATGGCATCGCTCCTTGCCGTCTGAATCAACAGGGGTTATGATTTATTCTTAATATCATTCATTGTCTGATGTTTCAGTTTATTACGAAAGGATTATTCATTATTAAAAGTGTCATTGTACAGATCAGTCATTTACTTAGTTTTGTGCGATAGTGCCTTTCAGTCTCTTTTATATTTTGAAATTATAATATAAATTATATGCTCATCAACAGATTTTAAACTGATTATCATAGAACTAGGTCAGTTCTCATTCCAGAAAAATATGTATTGATGAAGTAGCTTCTTTGTAGGACAACTAAAATATACAACATTGGGAATATCTTTTTGTTTCAACAAAACGCAATGTCCTAATTTCGGCTCAGATTACCTAGATGAGTGAATTTTAGATACACTTATAATTTCGCCGCGCACATGCTTGATATTCTAAGGCGCGTAATACTCATATAATACGGAAAAGCTGTCAGACCGCCAAATCTTGTCATTTTGACCTCAAGTACAGTACTGTTTTCCAAGAGATTTTTGAAATGAGCTTCCACATATATACAGTGTGTAAAAGCCAAATGGAATAAATTCATTATTTTGGTTACTGTAGATATTCAAAAAAATATCCCGAAACACGTCAAATGTGAATTATAATTTTACATTCTTCAACCCTTACCTTTAAGCCCCTTCGAATGACACGTAAAACCCCCAATTTTTGAATGGAGAGTATAGGTTTGTGATATATCATTTGAAAGGTCTCTTCACTCTCTATTCAGAAATGTTATTGCTTTCAAGTTTATTGCTACAATTGAGATAAAATAAATTAAAATCATGTGGCTACCGAAATTCGATTAAATACACTCAAAAACTAAAATGTAATGTAAAAAGAAATGTAGAATACGAAACAGAACTACGGATGTTAACGAAGTAGATGTTCAAAATGTTTACCGCGAACGTCTTTGCAACATCCTAATCTCAAATAAAACTGTATTTTGATATTATTTATTATATCAGGCGTGACCGACCTCATCGTAAGCGTTATTCGTTCTCTTAAGTCATTTGAATCTGAAGGTTCAGTTTTGTACACATTGCTCTTTACAAATCCCCATAAAAAGAAATAAAATGATGAAAGATCAGGTGATCGCGTTGGACATTCAATCGATCCTCCTTCTACACCGATTGGGAAATGTTTTATCGAGATATTGCCACACATTAACTTGGTAATGTGGAGGTGCTCCATCTTGCTGAAACCATATCGTATACACTGGAACTTGAGGGTTACCTATAGATCAGAATATAAATTGGCTAAACTTGGAATGACATCATCATTTTGAAGTAGTGCCAAATAATTATCGCCATTCAAGTTGCCTTAATGGAAAAAGATCCAAGGATATTCTAATTTGAGTTCACCACTCATTGCATTACGTTTAAAATTCACACAATTTATTATATTTTTTTATCCTGTTCGCAGCGCCATGTAATGATTCTACGATTCCATTTTAACAACTGTTTATTTTGAGGAAGTAAACATACCATTCAACAAAAACATATATATAAAAAGTGGTAGGTACAATGTGAATATACATGGTGGCACACACATACAAATAGGATAAATTTTAAGTTATTACAAATACCTCAACATGAAATAAATTTTGAGTATATTGCAATAAGTTTCGAGTGTATTTTATCGACTTTCGGTAACCACATGATTTTAATTTATTTTATCTCAATTTTTGCAATGAACTTTAAACGATAACATTTTTGAATAGAGAATGAAGAGATCTTTCAAACAATATATCACAAGCCTATACTTCCCTTTTAAAATATTGAGGGTTGAACCTGTAATTCAACGGGGGTTGAAGGTAAGGGTAGCATTTTTCCATTGAAGTATGTCAAATTATAATTTAAATTTGACGTGTTTGTGGATTTTGTAAAAATATGTACCATAACCGATATAATAATTTTATCCCTTTTGGCTTTCACACACTGTATAGTTCTATTTTGGTTATGATTCAGGCAACTGATTTGAAGAAAGGAATATTTCTGGACTGATACTATAATTGAAACATATACGTATGTAGTTTCCGTTATTTATTTACATAAAAAAGAGGAATAGAATGAAGTTTCAGGAAAAATCACACAATTTTGCTCTATGAACTCGGTGAGATGTTCTTGATCCCAAATGGAATTCACCTCACGATGATGATTGTGGAAGTTGTGGAATATGATCTCCTTTGGGTACAAAACCATTTTCAGAATCTACTGTGTACTCTACTTTATATTCTACATTGTCATTTCCAATGTATTTGTAAAATCCCTTGACATCCATGTACTCGTCCTTTTGTCCTTTATTCACCAGATGGCCTTCCTCTTCTCCCAGTATTTCATTTTCAGTTTCATATCTGTGAAAAAATGAGTTTGAGACATAATATATTTTTCTCGTAAATATTGAAATTGAAAATATTAAAAATTTGTTGAAAGATATACCTACATGTAGTGGTAACCATCTTCCAATATTTGTTCTATTTTCCTGATTATGCCATATTTGTTGTAGTCCTTCGAACCAGCTGAATTTGAATTTTTTCTGACACTGGCCTGGGGGAAATCAGTAACTGACACTCCTAGAAATTGTGAAAATATCGTTGATATAGTCAAAATGAAAATTCATGGAACAATCCTAGAGTGAACATAATTTCAAGAATATTAAGCAGTAACCCTAACGAAGTATATGTTGACAAAATTTTGGTCAATTATCATACAAATTGTTGTGAGACTGTCGAGTCGAAAAGGAATGCTAACTTAATAGCTTGGAAACATGCCTGATTGATCTAATAGATGTTATGTCTGAGGTCACTTCACCATAATCATATGTAAATTATTTATAATAGAAATGGTTCATTCGTTGCTGGTCATTTCGATTTAATGTGTTGAATTAATTTATCTTTCATGTTTCAATTTATGAAAATAACATTGATCAGTCACTGTAGATGTTTTCTCAAGTGTCACTTTCAATTGATGAGAGTATTTTTGATTATGGATTCCACTTCAGATATTTTTCACTGTTTCCAATGGCATATTCATAATATCAGTTCAAACTTGACTACAAATCGATAAAACAATATTTTAATTGAATGAACTGCTATATAGTGTGTGGTATATGAATCTCAATAAGAATAGATGAGATAAATTGAGAAGTGTATATTTGGGTAACAGAAAATTCCATTCCTCTTCGAAATTGAGATGGAAATTATAAATGTTAGAGATTCAGATCTATAATTGATTTTTTCTTTTGGAAGAATTCAATTGTTAGTGTTTACAATCGTTTTTTTATGTTGACTACATAACATTCATAAGAAACATTGACAACCAGTTCCAAATCAAAATATACCTATTGATCATAAAGTCACATGAACAAAAATATTTCCGAACCCAACTGTGACATTGATGATCGTGATCTGGGATATTTTATTTAAAATTTGAATAAATATTTGGAAATACATATATTTCAAGTGACGAGATGGATATGACATGAATTCGTAGTCAAAAATTTACCTACCTGAATTTTTTTGCTATTCATTAGGTGTCATCTCATTCATTGATATTCTATAATATCACGAATCATAGAATTAAAATGTCATATCTTTCAGTTCACTTTATGAAATTGTTAAGATTTCTCTCACTCTTTATGACTTAGCACACCTACCTCTTATGTTATTTCCACCATAGTTACCATCACCAACGTGATGATAATCTTCGTCTGAATGAATATATCTTCCTGAGTCATCTGGTATGTAAGAGCCGCTGTTATCATGATGATACTGACCATCATCATTGTATGCACCTGAATTATCATGTATGTAGGCACCATTATCGATGGACAGACTAGACTTATCTTGTATATATTGAACTATTTGAGGCTTTTTAGCGTATTGGAAAGGTTTGTATTGAACGGCTGCGGTACATAGCCCAATTAAGGACAAAATAGCCTGAAACAGAAATGGTGAATGTAACTATGATAATCAGGAAGAGAATATATATTTTTTGGATCAGGTAGTCTCAGATGATTTAGCCCCAACTTTCCAGATGTGATATTTTCCATAACTACTTCAGTCAAATTGTATTGAATTTAATGTCTTTTTCTCATCTAGATGAAGGTTGGATCACGTTTCCAAACGCCTATCAATTATGATAGGGATGTGCTAATTTCAAGCACATACCACTCATGTAATTTCAAGGAAAATACAAAACTGACAAGACAACTGGATTGAGATTTCGTCATTTTGTGAAATGTCTTTGAAGAGACTTTTTTTTTGGGGAAATCATAGTTTTTATTAACCTAATTTGGAACTACGTCCATTTCACAATCTGGAAAAATTGGAAGGAGTAATATAGAACAGTATTCAGTTGTAGAAAAGGCAAATATCTAGTTTATTCCGATAAGTTACTCGACGAAAAATGAATGAATCATCTTCTTTCGAGTAATCTCATCAATAACTTGTATTCAATAATTTTGCCCATCAAAAAAAAGAATGAGAATTTTATATGGTATACATATTTGATATCTGATGCATATCAGAAAGATGCATACTGTGCTACTCATCTAGAAGAGAAATATGAAAAATGGCAAAATGGCAACAAAATTATATCAAAAAATTCCTTGTAACGCATCGATAGATAGTCAGTTAACCACTTTGACAAACATCGTATTACACATATTACCTGTCGAAGGAACTTACATCAGAGTCATTAAAAAACAGTGAAATTATTGATTTAAAATTCTGCAGACGGAGCCAGATTTGAGTCTCTAAACATCAAGTTAAGTAATCTACCGAATTGCAGAATGATATAAATCCTTGTAATACGACATTATGACAAGAATAAAGGCCTCTTTTAATTTTATATTATCTTAATATATTTGAAAATAATCAATTTATATTTCAAAAAGTTTATTTCATTGAGAAATGAAAATATTTTTTTTGGTACAACTGGTTTGAACTCATCTGTCATGATGAGATTTTAACCCAAGAGTCCAGAATAATATTTATCCATCCATTTCAAGTTCAATCAAACTACTACATAGCAAAACTCTCTATATAGACTTTATCAATTGAATTCAATTAGAATGTGATAATAGATTTGATTGCTGTTTGTGGTATATTATGTCATATGATCATTATCAAACGGATAAGTTAATCAATACATTTTTAAAAGTGATTATTTTTTTTGATTAACTTTGCCCAATTTCCCAAAAATTACTCACCAGAAATTTCATCATTATTGAAATAATGTAATTCAGTCACACCAATTGGACTCTTGAATCTTCTTCTGACAGTTTGAGATCGGTTCCCCATTTTATTGAATCATCAAACCATTCAATCCCTCCTCCAAAATTTGCCTAATGCAACACTTGAATTAAAACTATACCATTCTAAGTGAAGGTGATTTTCAAGAACTTTGAACTTTTGTAATTCATGAGATATCAATTCTGAACTGGTTTTGATGAACCAGATGACAATGAAGTATATTTCATCGAAGACAATATATGTTTAATGATGAAACACTGGAAAATATAATATACAATATTACCCGAAAATAACTTCTGGTCAAGAGTTTTTAATATAACTCAATACTTTTGGACCATTTGATCGAATATGGAATTCTCACTTCAAAGATCAACACATGTGGTCATTCCCATTTAAGATGGCGGCGTAGGTGCCATTTTTCTAAATTCAATATTGCGGCACAATGGCGTCATCTATGGAAATATTGTCAAACAAGTCAATATTGGGAGAAACTAGAGCCAAAACATGATCACTTCCTGAATGAAAATTCAATAATTACAAATTTTGACTTTCCCACGTACTTTTTTCTATTTTTCTGAAAGGTTCCATATTCTACATCATTTATCTGAGAGATCTTAATGGGAAGTGATTTTTTTTAAACTTTGACATCGTCAATGTGTTAACATTGATAATGAGTTCGATGGCTTGCTGAAACTAATGACTTTTCTTGAGTCTGCAGTCAGAATAAATCTATTTACAAAAAAATTATCTTGTCGTAAAAAAGCGTGGGATGCTTCGAATTATATTTTTATCATGGCTTAAATCTGGCAAACAGCTTCTAATTAAGCATTCATACAAATGGATATTTAGCACCACACGCTTTTTAACAACAATTTCTCTTCTGTAAATAGATTTATTCTGATTTCAGACTTATTGAAAGTCATTGGTTGAATCAAGCTATAGGTTAGGTTAGGTTAGGTCCAAAGTGAGTGGGACTTTTCGACCCTCCACCGCAACTCGCAAGAGTTTATTGTGGGTCACACCTATTCACAGTTGACCGAATAAACCCAGCTCCTCAACGAAGCCGATTAGTTTGTATGGTGAGTGGTTTTTCAGGTCAGATGGTAAAAGTACGGCTCTGCCGAACTCTAAAAACCTGATTCGGTCCCCAACAGGGCTCTGCTGTTTCATAATTTTCCAAACTGAGGCGACACACAACACTGTCTTCCGACAGTCCGAGTCTCTGCATATGATTATTCAAATAACAGTGACCTGTAACAACGCATGTTAGACATCGTAGTTCATTTCTACTGTAGTCTAACAACAGTTTCGTATCAAGCTTCGAAGGGTGAATAAACGCCTTGGAGTGACCCAATCCTGCAAGATTCTGCCAGAAGTCCATAAATCTTGTGTATAAGGTTGGATCCTTCAAATCTCTCCGCATACAATTCAATATCGTAAATTTTCGTTTAAAATACGACTGTGACTGGACTGTGACTGAAAAGTCACAGACCCAAGACAAAGCAGTCCTATAAGCAGTCATCGGGCCTCTCTCTTCAGAAAAATGCGGAAAGCCACTGATGGCCAGATAAGCCTGTCTCTGTAAGTCAGAGTGCTTCGCCTAGATCGTTTTCTATAAAGCCTTCGGCCACCAGGCAAATGCACAATAAGTGATCCTCAGTCCGTCAATCATCACATAGATCCGATCGATTTGTTTGGGACCTGAGCCCTAAGTTTTACCACAAATCCTTCGACATGTCCATAGGGACAGTCTGGCTTTGTGTAAAACTTTTTCCAAGTAAGCGTTCCAGGTAAGTTTTTCATCAAGGACATTGCCAAGATATTTCACCTCCGTTCCAAATGAAATGACCTGATTATTGAGAGAAAGTGGCTTTAGATCGTCCAATTTTCTCCTTCTGGTGAAGGAGATTATCACAGTTTTGTTGGGGTTGAAAGACATCTGAACCCTCAGACACCAACTGTGAACAACCTACATCGTACTTTGGAGGATATTACAAGCTACCCTTCTCGACGTGGACCTTGCCAAGATGACAAGGTCATTTGCATAGGCTTGCAAATCTACTTTTATTCTATCGAGAGTATCAAGCAGACTATTCATTAGAAGCGACCACAGAAGGAGTCCTGATAAGATCATAATCTAAAGAAACAAAAGTGAATAATTCATGATTGGGACCTCAAGAAATATATCATCAAAAATCATAAACTATCAATATACCATCAAAAATGAAAATGAGCCTGAGATTCTTCTTGTCAAATAATTGAATTTAACTCCATAGAAATATGTAGATATTTTCAACATACACCTAGGAGTTCAAAACGTACCACACTTCCACTCACCAAAACTGCAACACTCTTCGCGATGTGTATTTCATTAACCAAGTAGACGCTATTAACTGTACTGAAGTGAAGTACCGTTTATTCAACTTGCTTGATGGAACAGGCATCAAGGAAGGCGTTGTTTCATTCAGGTGAGTGAGAGTAGACTGTTTTCTACTTCTGTGGTTTTGGTTCTATCTTTCACTACCAAAAATTCATTAGAAGATCTGAGGATTCACTCGTTGCAAATGAGTAGAAATTCTACACACAATAGATATCGAGTACTTTTTCCCAATGCGAGTTTCGCTAACGAGTTGGTATCATAATGCCAACTCCTCACAATTAAATTAATTTTTTTTTTCGAAAAAAGATTTTTTTCTATATTTTTTTCGTTATATTATACTCAGAAAATGCTTTTTATACAGAAAAATTGAAAACATTCTGAATTTTCAGTAAAGTACTTAAATTTTCATTCAACTCGAATTCGAAAATAGTCCTCAATTTCTAGATAATTAGTAGAAATCAGCTTTCGGATGTACGGAACTATAAATTCTAAAAAATCTCAGTCAACCACTCATGACCAACATGATCAATTGATTTTGCATATATCCGAAAGTAATCTGTTTTCCTAATCACCAGTATGTCAATAATTCTCTCGACGCACGTTTCACCTACTAAGTTTGCCTTTTGATAGACCGCGTACCGTAGAAACTGTAGGATTAGAAACATGTAGACTTCTGTTCAAAGTCGATACGATCAAACTTCAATACTACTTGAGTGTGCTTTTCATTTATGAAACCATCTGATGCAAGGGTTGTTTGGAAATTTATAGAGACCTCAATTCATAGGGACCATTGTCGATTGAATTATCAATTCTCCCATAGTAATCTGACTTGCCTCATTGACTTCGTCTGATTTCGGGTATAGAACATATTTACCTTTCAATTATTTGATGAACTTTTTTAGTTTCTACAGGCGAATTCATATATGTATGGAAGTGAAATTATGACCTATTACATATAAATTGGAACCAGTTTTAGAGTTGGAACTGGCGTGAGCCGCCCGACGAAACCTAAACCCAATCATAGGCTGCAGGATTAATATATTCATGTGAAACTGCTTCTCATCAGTATCGAACTATGTTCTTTCATTCTTTATGCCTCCACTGCCGGAGGTCAGTACGAAGCGTACTGATAATTCAGTTAGTGGATTTGATATAATCAAAAGTGTGTTAAATTCATGAATGAAGCACTCAGAAAATATGCAAACCACAGACAGGTTGTTGTCACCTGTTTCTGGCTTTTGTTAATGACTTCATGTATTTCTGCTAACTCTGCATCCAATATACCGTACTAATGATAGCTAATAAGCCAGAAACACATCACCCCGGTTTGCATATTTCCTCGGTACTACGTCCATGAATTTCCCTCCTTGCTAACTTATCATCTATATATTTATTATCTATATATTATGAATATTAATTCATTCACCATACAAGCAATTAGTATAATCATTGAGTACAAGTCAAGAGAAGAGTAAATAGAAAACATTCAGAAGAAGTGAGACCCCGTACACCCGTGGTCACATTTCATGAAGAATTTCGTTAGAGAGGAAGCTGCGCGCATTATTGGATAAGTAGCAGCGCTTGTTGACATCAGACGGTGTAAACTTCTCAGATTCAAATGTAAATATCTACAATATTGAGTATAAGCTCTTGAACTTGAACATATATTTGGATTTTCATCCCATCTGATTTTGTAATATGGTGAACCTTATGTTTAAAGTGTATGCTTATGGGGACTAATGAGGAAATGCTTGAATGTGGGCTCCTCGAGTACCTCCAATTCATCACTTATGTTAATAATCGCCTTGTTAATTTTTCTTCATATTGCAGCTTCAAGCGATCAATTTGGTAAAGCTTAGGGTACTAGCGCACATTCTACATCTTGACCGTTTTACAGACACACATGAAATGGGTAAATGGTTGAATGTAGACTCCTCGAGTACCTCCAATTTATCACTTGTGGTAATAATCGCCTTGTTGATTCTTCTTCATATTGCAGCTTCAAGAGATCAATTCGATAAAGCTTAGGCTACCAGCGCACATTCTACATCTTGACCGTTTTACAGACACACATGAAATGAAGAAATGGTTGAATGTAGGCTCCTCGAGTACCTCCAATCATGGTAATAATCGCCTTGTTAATTTTTCTTCATATTGCAGCTTCAAGCAATCAATTTGATAAAGCTTAGGCTACCAGCGCACATTCTATATCTTGACCGTTTTACAAACACACATGAAATGAATCGACTTTTGAAGTTAGTCATTTTTGAATGCACATGATTATAGTTTCAATGCGGGTACAGATTAATAACATTGAACTAACTAAGCATCTGATTGTTCCTTCGTCAATTTTATGAAATAATTTGATACATCATTCAAATTCACGTCATGATCAGGTACAGTTTCAATTGCATTAAAAAAAATTTGAAATTTACCCCAGGAGTGGTTTGATAGAGCACATTACCCATATGCTTCTATGATAATGCTTTTGTGGTATTGGAAATAAATTATTTCCATTATCACAATAGTGTCCGACCAAAAGTTAGGTTTAGGATTCAGTTACGGTCGAGTTTCGGCAAAAAAACGGGTTTCGGGTTAGTTTCCGTTTTGGAGGCACACCTGCCGAAACTACAACCGAAACCGAA